TGTCCCTCAGGGATCAGTGTTGGGCCCAGTCCTGTTTAACATCTTTATTGATGATCTGGATGAGGGGATTGAGTCCACCATTAGCAAATTTGCAGATGACACCAAGCTGGCAGGGAGTGTCGATCAGCTGGAAGGCAGGAGGGCTCTTCAGAGGGACATGGACAAGCTGGAGAGATGGTCTGATTCCAGGGGGATGAGGTTCAACCAGGCCAAGTGCCAGGTCCTGCACTTCGGCCACAACAGCCCCTGGCAGCCCCACAGGCTGGGCACAGAGTGGCTGGAGAGCAGCCAGGCAGAAAGGGACCTGGGAGTTTGGATTGACAGGAAGCTGAACATGAGCTGTCAGTGTACCCAGGTGGCCAAGAAGGCCAGTGGATCCTGGACTGGATCAGGAACACTGTGACCAGCAGGACCAGGAAAGTGATCCTTCCCCTGTACTCAGCGCTGGTGAGGCCACCCCTGGAGTGCTGTGTCCAGTTCTGGGCCCCTCAGTTCAGGAAGGACATTGAGGGGCTGGAGCAGGTCCAGAGAAGAGCAACGAAGGGACTGGAGCCCAAGTGCTGTGAGGAGAGGCTGAGGGAGTGGGGTTGTTAAGCCTGGAGTAGAGGAGACTCAGGGGAGACCTCATCACTCTCTGCAACTCCCTGAAAGGAGGTTGTAGCCAGGTGGGGGTTGATCTCTTCTCCCAGGAATCAGAAGTAGGACAAGAGGGTCTTAAGCTGTGCCAGGGGAGGTTTAGATTGAATATCAGAAAAAAATTTATTACCGAGAGAGTGATCAGACATTGGAATGGGCTGCCCAGGAAGGTGGTAGATTCACCATCACTGGAGGTTTTTAAGATGAGACTGGATGTGGCACTTGGCACATGGCAGTGTTGGATCAAGAGCTGGACTTGATGATCTCAGAGGTCTTTTCCAGCCCAGTTGATTTTATGATATGACTCTGACAGAATCAGTGGTTAAAAACTTCCTTATCAGGTGAATTGCAACTGAAGGGTCTCACAGATTAATGGATAAAAGGATCTGACAAACTGCAGCAGGATAATCAACAAACAGCTGAGCAATTAGGACAAAATGTTCATAGAATGGATAAAAGGTATAAAATGTTAAATAATCAACATGAAGAATGGCAAGTAGTACATCATGGGCTCCTGGGAAAGAGCACAACTTGGGCTGTAAGGGGGATGGATCTAGCACTAGCACTTATAAAGGCATTTCCATTGTTTATTAGTTCAAGTGAGTTCTGACAATGTGAGGCAGCTTCATCAATCACAGACAAAACTTTGGAAAGGAGAAAAACACTAAGCTATATGAAAAGTTGTCTTTATTTTTCAGATGACAGAAAGGAGTGAGTATTAACTGGCCAGCAGACGTGGATCAGCATAGAAACACAGAGCTGCTGTGGTGTGTAAGAATAGCTCTTCCAGCTGTTGTATTGGACATCATTGTTACTGAAGGTAGGAACATTATTGAATAGTGTTGAGTACTTCCTGGTCTGCCCCCTGTGTCAGTGCACAGTTTGCATGCAGTGTGGTGTTGCCTGAGTTTTGCACTGGGCAGACAGGACTGGAATGAGCAGAGCTGTCAGGGATGATCCCTGAGATGGCTGCATCTGCCTCCTCGCTGTTTTGCACCCTCTCTGTCTGAGCTAAGCACCTTCTCTGGCAGTGTGGGTGGTCAGTGGGACAAAACCAGGGTGTAGGCCTTGATGTGCTCAATCCTGGGCAGCAGCATAGAGCTCTCAGGCCTTTATCTCCAAGTTCCCTGGTCATCCACAACTGGATGGCATGTAAGGATGGCTTAAAACTACATCAGCCCCACTTTAACAGAGTTAGTCATGCACTGCCATTGCTGTAAGAAAAACAGAGACTCATTCAGCAGTTTTAAAGTCCCTATGTTTTGTTTCCTTTGCTCTTCCCTCCATTCTGCAGTCCTATCCACTTCAATTTAAAAGTACTGTCTTTAACAAGAAACATCCCTCTTTCCTGAGAGGCCAGCGTGCCACTAACAAGTAGTGTAGACACAGCCATGCACTATTGTTCCTGTCACCTCTAATCACACAGTGATCACCATCATGCTAAATCCCTTCTTCCCATCTGCATTCCTCTGGATTACACTACATCCTTCCTCAACCCTCAGTGCAGCCTGGGCTTCTCTTTCCTTTGTTTCTTCACCTTTGGCTGTCCCCAGCCTGTGCAAGCAATCCAATGGCTCAGAAAGGGAAAACTGCCTTGTTATGGTGGTAGGTCTTTTTCCTGTCACAGGGACTTGTTTTTTCTACCATGAACTAGAATCTCTTGAGAGAAAGAAAACTGAAACCGTCTTTGAGCTTCCTTTTCTGTTCTGCCCTCCTGGTGCACGTTAAAAATGAGAAGAAAGGTGGGGGGGGGGATTAAAAAAAAACATGAAGAAAAGAAAAAGATCTTCAAAAAGGAAGACTTTTCCAAGAGTCCAAACAATCAATTGGACAATAGGAGATAATGATTCCACCTCTGCGCCCTCCTCCCGCCGGACAGGAATTGTGAGCCCTGCATCTGCCAGAGGTGGTAAAAGACCTCCGTGATCCGCCTCAGCTGGGTGATGAACTGAAAAGCTCACTGCTCATGCTGCAAACAAAGCCTTGGCAGAGGGCAGAGGTAAAACCACCTGGGACCCGGCCTTCTAATCAGGCCCATGCTGTGAGCTCGTAGTATTAATCCGAAAGCCAGTGACATCAAGGCAGGAGGCCTGCGTGACCCCGAGCCCATCCAACAGTGGCTTACACTACCCAGTACTGTATGTTCCATTTAATAAACTCCATTGATATATTTAATAAAGATACCTCATACTTCCACAGTTTCATGTGTGACCTCTCTGTGGTTGCTACCAAAAACACAAAGCAAAAAAGTCAAGGATCATTAGCTGACGAGGCAAAACTGCCCCTTCCCTTGCTCTTCTATTTTTCTTGTGAATATCAACTGCTTGGGAGGCAGCAGTTGCTTGTAATCTTCCTGTCTCCATTACAGAAGGGACAGGCTCCTGTGAGAGCTTGGGAACAAATTACAACATAATTGCCTGCAGTTTGGGCAGCTCACAGTCCCATTCACTGCCTTCAGACTCCTCATGCCAGCACGCAGTTTCTGCCAGAGGCTGTGTTGATGGGCTCCTGTACAGTCTGGGTAGTGCTGTCACCCCATCTTCCCCCCAGTTTTGTGGTGTGGAAGGAGGACTGACAAACACCAGGGGCCAGAAGACATCCATTAGCACCCCCCAGTGTACCTCCTGCGGGTCCCTGGCTGTGCTGCACAAGCCAAGGGACTCACTCTGGCTTCTGGAAAAGGTCATCTGCCTCAGCAGGGGAGGAAAAAGATGAATCTCTGCCTCTGTAATTTTTTTCTAGGCAGGCTATGAAAAATTTTTTTGTAGAAAAAATGTGTGTTTTAAAACCTAAAGAGACAAGGGTTGGTTTGGGAGATTCTCTTTTGAGTTTTAAGCTTTCTGGGGTTTTTTATTATTACTGTTTTATTTAGTGCTTGGGTTTTTTCGCATCAGAAATAGTGTCAGTTGTCAAACAAGACTCATGATTGATTTGGTTTTTTATGTCTTGCTTTCAACATCCTCAAAGGTATGTAATTGTTCAGGACATACTGAGTATCTGCACTTACAGAAATCAAGCCTCAAGTGGAACTCCCCTGAAAGCCAGGCACTGGGAAGCCAAGATTAGTTTTCAGGAAGTAAGTGGTTTTCATTTTTCTGTTTTTCAAGGACTCTTTCAAGGGCCAAGCAGATGGATGGGAGGTCCACAGAATAGAAACCTGTGGTTCTAATGGGGACAGAAAAGTGTGTGTGGAGGGGATTGTTTGTTTGGGGTTTATTTTAGCTAAATCATCTTTTTGTTTGACAGCAATTTACACGGTTTATGCAGCCGGAATGCCAGTGCATTTTTTGTGTGGACTCTTCCTTTTCAACAAAGGACTGAGAAAATTGCCACACTAATTCTCGGAGCTTCCCAGCAGCTCTGAGGCATAACCCGAGGAGCAATTTCCAACTTAAAACTACAAAGGCAAACAACAGAATAAAAGCACGGTTCGTTTCAGAAAGCCTCTTAGGCAGCTGTGGCTCCATTCTCATGGAATTTTGAGTGGAGGTTTGGGTATGTGTTGAAGACCAAGCTGGCCTTAGTTTCCTCATAGGCTTTTCAGGAGCACTTAGGGCTGTGTTAGTCTTTTAGGCAGCCTGGAGTAGCCTGCTGAGCAGCAGCCGTGGCAGCAGTGACCTCCCTGGGAGAGGCTCAGCCCTTGTCCCTGCGAGGTGTGAGGGCTGTGGCAGCAGAGTGGTGGGACTGGCAGTGCACACCGCAGGCGACCCCATGTCCCCCAGCCCTGAGCCTGGACGACTGAGATACGGCATGGCTGCACCCCGAGGTCCTGGCAAATCCCAGCCTTTGTACCCTGGTAAGTGGAAACAAAACTCAGAGCTGGCATATTAACTCTTATCTGGTGCTCACCATCTGGATCGACCAAAATGCCTTGTTGTGTTAGAAAAATAACGCTAATTTTGCATCTGCGAGGGGGCAAACTGAGTTGTAGGATAGGAGTGGTCCTTCTCCTTGGGAGCACCATGTATTCCTGGGGATCCTGCACCCACTGAGGACGGGTTTCACTGGAAAAGTGCACAGACACCCTCTCTCCGTTTGCATGTGCACAGACACCCCCTCATGTTTGCATGTATTTGCTATATAGCTGTCCCACACATTTTCCTTGCTAGCCTGTCATAACCATTACTAAAATATGCTTATCTCATATATGCAAATAGTAGGATATTTATAAGATTCTTTGAAATTTCCATAATTGTGCTGTAAAAAAAATCTCTTTGCTTATCTCACAAAGTGTTGTAACCACAGTGTTACTTTTATTGAAATCCAAAAAATCACTCAGCAAAATAAGAATAGTTAGAAAACTGTCAGTTTTTTATATTTTTGAAATAGAAGGGAAAGAAAGCGAGCAAACCAGGCTTTATTATTTTAAATTAGAAAGTTTAATGCTCACCAAAAAGGATATAAACTGTAAATGTATTTTAGCAGTTCCTAGAGAAAAAGAGAGGTTTTAATAATAACACTGTGTGCTCCTATATCATTTTCATTAGAAAAATCTCGGAGCACTTTCAGCTTATTAAAGAATGGAATGCCTCAGAAGGCTCTTGGGAGGTACCATAGAAAAGTAAAGTAACAAGTATAAATCCACATTATGCTCCATACTGTGGTTACGTGGAACTTCCAAGCCATCTTGGGGAGGTACAGCTCCCTGTTATGTCTCAGGATTGCCAGGCTGCCCTGCCTGGCACAGCCTCACCTGGCTGGGACAAGAGCTGGCTGTGTCAGAGAGGGGCTCCACTGCACCAATCTGCTCATTTTGTGGATGAGTTAACAAAGGCATGGAAGGCTTTTCCCAGATCTTGTGTCCTGCCCCGTGGGGACACATGAGGAGCTCTGCAGGGATTCCTTTGTCTCCTTTGGGGAATCCTGGATGCTCTCTGGCCTCACATGAGTAGGTTGCTCACCAGGTTTATCACACAGGAACATGCCCAGGCAGGCTCCTACAAATCATCTTGGGAATGATCTAGAGAGGACAGAAAAATAAGATATTAACCTAAATTTAGCACTGGAACAACAAAAGGAGGAAGAGAGGCTGTAAAGGTAGAGGATATTCCCTGGGCTGATGAAGAAAATAATATTAAAAACTCCCTGGTGTTTAATTTCAGAAAATACAATAGACTGAGCGAGTGCCCAGAAGAGGAACAGCATGTTAACATATCTTAGATAAACAGGAGCCAAGTTGTTAGCCTGACAGAAAAACGAGAGAGCCCATTAATGCAATGGGGAAAAATAATAAATTAAAAACCAGATGGTTCAAAGATGTGATTGCATCTTCAGCTTCAGCAGGAGGAAAGAAGGGGAATACATATGTATTGCAGGCAGGCCAGGAACACAAAAGCTGGAAAAACATACACGGACAGGAGAGGCAGGCTCATCATAATGAAATTAATTAAAAGAGCAGGACCTCAAGTTATTTTAGGTCCCAGTGGTAGAAACACCAGAATTCCAAGCTCCATTCTTCATTTATACAAAAAGTTTCCTATTTCATCCATGCTCAAAAAAAGGACCTCTTCCTTTCTGTGCTAGATAGTGAGTCAAGGCAGATGGGAATTATTCTGAGCTTGGAGAACACAAAGCAGCACAAATTAATGGCTTACTGGCAGAAAGGCAGTTTAAAGCACTTTGCCAAAGCACATTTTATTCCTACATTTATCCTACATACATATTTTTTTCTTTAATTCTGTTCAGATAAGAAGTGCATGACTAAGCAGAGATACATATCTGTTTTGTGTATAGGCTAGATGGGGCATTAAAACAAACAAACAAACAAAAAGCAGAGGAAAGAAAGGGGGGAAAAAAATCCATAATGGCTGGTGCAATGACTTAACAACTTGCTTCATGTCACTCAGCACACAGAAAATAGAACAACCCCGTCTTGCCAGCTTGAACTCATCCCATAATTTCTGTGTGGGTTTATATGCATCTGCCTGCATTCTGTCACATATATACACATATGTATATGCACACCCATATCTTACTGTTTCACATGAAGAAACTTGTTTGGGGGGATGGAGGGAGATCCTCATGGCCGTAGGGACCTTGGCCAGGATCCTGGTTCTGCCATATAATGGGAAGTTTTGCTTTTGGCTTCAAAAGTGACAGGGTTTCACTCCAGTTTCCTTTACATCAGTAAGGTTTTAAATCTGCAGCAAGACTTTCTCTACCCAGCATTATGCTTCAGCCATTTCTGTGAGAAATCTGGAAATGGTTTAAATATGCAAATTAATCACGCATAAACAATTTAGGTTATGATGCTGATATTATTTCAATCATAATTTGGCAGGATGATGGAGGCAGAAACTCAAACTGTACTTGTTTTGAAGAGTGTTGATTCTTTCATGACTATTAACTCTCAAGACCTCAGTTTTATATCCCTTGGGAACACATTCCCTCTGTGCTTAGGACATTAGAAGAGGAGATCAGGAGGTGTAGGTTCAGTTCTTGTTACAAGACTTTCAGGTGCTTTCTTAACTTCCTGTCACCCTTTTTCCCCTTGTGTAAAATTAGGATAATGATATTTCTTCATATGAAAGCAGTTTAATGCATTGATGTCTAAAATGCTCAGGTGGAAGGGGTTATACATTTCAGAGATTACTGTTTATTACCATGATTGTTATCACTGATATTTCTGGGAGTTTCACTCATGTATGTAATAGGGGCACAATATTATGAACATTTTGCCTGATTTTGAACTTAAAACCAATTTTGTTCTGAATTAATTCCTTTGAATAGAATTATTCCAGAACTACATCAACTAGGGACCAGCTGCTGACCCCAAGTGTTTAAGAACTACAGATAATCATGGATGAAAAGAGACAAAAATACATTTTATCTAAGAAGTATCTACTGTTGTGATAGAGACTGAAATTAAAGTATAATCCAGAGAGAGAGAGAGAGAGAGGGAGAAAGAATATTCTTTAATTAAAATCAGCTACCTCAAAAGATGGATTTTCTCAGGAGTGAAATTTGCACTGTGCTGAAGGCTTTCCACTTAAACCCTTGATGATGCAAGGAAAAAGAACTCTCAAGGAGTAATATTGGCATTAGCAGATAGTCACATGCCACTGCACAATAAGGCAAAATTTGCAAAGAAAAAAAATGTGTGGAAAATAGAACAGCAAGATGGACAAAACAGGAAACTCTCTGAAACACAGACCCATGAGTAGCCAACAGCAAATGAATAGTTTGGCAAAGAAAGGGACAAAGATAGAGACTTGAAGACAGAGAAAGAAAAATTAAACCAGAAGCATCAAAGATCAATGAAAACAATCAGCGTTTTCTGCCAGGAGATATGTTAAAAAAGACTGAAAACAAGGCTTTGGATAACCTGTTCAAAATGATCCATCGTCCCACCCACCATCTCCACAGCAATTAATGGTCCCTGCCAAGGACACATTATGGTTCAAGGCATGGAGATTGTATGGACCCCTCATGAAAGTGGCAGGTAAGCAGCACAACATCCATTTTGGGTAGTTCTGGGACATGCACAGACAGTGCCTTCCTCACCTTGGGAGAGATGCTGCTGCTGGCAGCACGCACCGGAGGGGAGCACTTCTGACGGGCGCTCCAAAGTGAATCCTGTTCAGTTCCCATTTTAGTTACCATCACAGATGGCTTCCTGCAATACAAAGAAGGCTCTTGGCAAGGCAGTGTGCTGGATAACATTAGAATTGGATGTGATGGAAGTATTACCTCACAGAAACACCCATTCACCAGCATTCATTTCATTGTGTGCAGCACAGTAGATTCGAGCAGCTACTTCACACTGGCTTCCTCGCACATGAAAATCTCTCTTGCATGAATCTTGTCTAACAACCAGGTGGACTCTGCAAGAAGTGGTTCTGCTGCACTGAGGAAAATTTATCTCTCTTTTTTTTCCCTTTCTCAAAAAATATTTCAAGGCTAAAGTGGAGGAGCTGCTGCAGTGGTATCAAAGACTCTCTGACCACATCACTGGAGACATGGGCAGTGGTGTGGGCAGCAGCAGAGACCCTCCCTGTGCTCAGGACACCTTATTGCTAGGGAGAGGACACACACAGCTTCAGTGCCTATAAATACCTTGTAGCTTTGGTCTGCGCGATGCAAATGTTTTTGTGGAAAGAGCCTAAAACCAAATTGTTAGTCTAATATTGGCCATGATATTGCAGCCAGGCAGAATGGGATATGTAGCAGGGGACTTTTTAATGCATCAAATTAAAAAACCTGTGCAAATCTTGGCTGAGTCCAGGTTCCCAAAGAGCTACTGTGGATTCAGGACAAATTTCAGTTCAAGCAGAAGGGTTGGCTAGTCATTAAAATACATCATACAAGTAATCTGGCTCATAGCCCCAGACCTTTAAAGGTATTTTAATACCCATAGTACTCCAGGTGCTAAAACAGCTTGACCAAATTTGGCATTAGCTACCAGCATCTCTTGAAAGGAAAATAGAATCCATGGCAGTAAAAGAGCGAGGCCTTCCTGGTGATGTGACTTACACTGGGAATTAGTGGATCATGCTGAGTTGAGTTGCACGTTCTCAAAGTTATGGTTTCTCATAGCAGCTCTCATCACTCCTCGTCTGCACAGCTCTGCCAGTCTTGCTCGCACAGATGCCGTGGTCCTGTGGAGCCCCTCTGAGCACGCAGGGCTGCGTGTTCTGTGGGAGAAGTACTGAGAGTCCAGCGATGCTGGTACATGCTGGCGAGCAGTATTCACATATTAACAGATTTCCACTCAAACTGGCAAATAGGAATGTCTACGTTAGAAATGCTGTGTGAAAGCCAAGGCAACAAAAGTCAAAATGTGCATATGAGAATATGTGGTACACACAGTATATGTCACAATGTTTACCATCACTTCAAAACATGCACCCGCCCACAGTTCTTCACTAGCAGCATCCTGGAACTTCTCCAATTGGGATTTGCTATATGAAGCAAAAGTCAATTAAAATCAGCCATTATTGTACAGATCATGAGATCCATAGTACAAGATCCCATACTCATCCCAGATGCTCATTAATAGCAGTGTGCTGTAAACAAGTCCAGGACAATTGCTTGGGGTTTGTATACTTTTCTGATTGCTGTGTTTGCTCAGTTAACATATAACATTTCAAAATGGTTTGGATTAAAATTTTTAGCAAATAGCAAATTCCCCAGAAACACAGTTCTGTTGCATTCTGGAACTATTGCAAATGTAGGTCAGAGTCAGTAAGCAGGTTTTTAGCTAACGAAAACAGAGGTGGGGGGAGAAAGATTTGGGGAAAAGGAAATCATGTCTACCCAGCTTGCTAGAGGAAGACCTGTGAGCACCAGCTCACCCACATTCTTTGAGCAAAGAGCCTATTGCTGTGTGAAGTGTGATGACTCATCTCTGCATCACACAGATCCTACATTTTTAGCTTGGGAAGTCACCACCTGCTAAAGGCATAGTGTGCTTGGTTGGGTTCCCTCAGTGTCCTGAGGAGCTCTTCCATATAGTTAAGAAAACATGATTTTCCAGGGAGGTAAACTGTGCAGTCTCATGTTCAGAAGCTCAATAATTGTACAAATTGAAAAGCCAGTTCCTGCCATACTTTTATTTGTGAAGAAACAGCATTTACTGGACTCAATCAGAGAAACCAATGCACGAATGGCCTTGAGCTGAGATGATTCTGCTGGGTGGGTGGAGACTTCCAGTCCTTTGAGGAGAGCTGAGCACTAACATCCTTCTGTCTGCTCCCAGGTAAGACCTACCCAGAATTACAGGTGAACCTGACCTCAGAAACAGAACACTGTCAGGTTTTTTTAGTTGAATAAAACATTAACTTTATATGAAACAAACATCTTTGGTTTTGAAAAAGATTCCCCCACCCCTACACACACACAAATGCACATACTAATTTTTCAGGGCTGATTTATAAACCAAAAAATCTGTAATTAGCATAATTTTATTTGTAATTGGCAGGGATAAGTTATTTGCTTTGGTGTCAATATCAGTAGCAATGGAAGTCCACTTGCTCTTTTGTTTTCCATTCTTTCACTACATCTTCCCATTTAGTTTCAAGGTAAGATCAGTATCTGGAAACAAGATGTAATTTATGCTTTTATCATTTCACAAACTTCAGCAAATCTACTCTTGATAATGTATTATAATTACACTGGTGATCAGAACTGGATTTGAAAATGTAGGAAGCCTGGCGTCAACTGCCACTGTGTGTCTGACCAGATCAGAAAATGAAAACAACAGTTACTGGCATTTATTGTCAGAGGAGCTTCAACTCAGATTTGCAGACAGACAGACTGAAAATATTAAATGGCTATTCATTTCATATGTATACCTAATTTCTATGGATTTTGAGACTGGTGTCCTAATATCTGTCAAGCTTGTTCCCATTTGCTTCTTCCAACAGTTCCCCTTTAAGATAAGCTTTCCTACTCTAAAGCCAAATGCAGTGCTCCCCACTGTGATGGATTCCTTCTTTTTCCTTCCTAATTGGAGCCATTTCATCAGATCGAATTTTGACAGAGATAGTAATTGTCATCCAATTTTAAGGCAATGACAAGATCAATATGAATTCTCAGATGACAAGTATTATTACTGGGTGAGCACAAAGAAACAAAGAAAATGAAAAATCCATGTTCTAGGGATCAAAACAGTTTGAGGCACATGCTTGCCTTGATCCACGTGTATGTGAATCCTGTTGACAACAATAGACGCTGTGCATGTGGATGGATGGGATAGAACAGATGGCCTTTGCCAGTCAAATAGTGCAGCAAAACGAGCACCCAGTGCTTTAGTACACTGCAGTTTCGGTAATGTGGGAGTCAATTAACTTGCCACCAAACAGGCTTACAGGGAAAATTACCCAGAGCCCCATCTCGGAGAATTCTGCTCCTCCTTAACATTTTCTGCTCCTTCTGTTTCCCGAATGTCAGGAGTAAACACCCAAGAAATCCCGATTCTTTAAGGTAAATATATTCAAAGTATATTTATGTAGGCAGAAGTGACTTGATTATTTTTATAACATTGTTTAAATGAGATGATCTGATTAGTTAATGGCCCGAAGAGTTCAGACAGAGTTCAAACAAGGATCTAAAATGTGTTGCAGCATCTTTAGACATTTTCCACACCATAGTGGTTTGGGGAGAGATTCTGCCATGTATGCATAACTTGCCAGATACTGTCATTTTATTTTAGGAGGTTCACCCTGCAACAAGACATTTCTTCAAGGCATTTGACCCTCAGAGTTCAGCTCTTGTTCCATATTTGCTACTCAATGTGCATTCAAGTTACCACTGCAGGGCCACTATGCACACACTTATCTTGCTATTAAAACCAGACCTCCTGCTTTCCCACCCCCAAAGTGTTAAATCCAAGGAAATGGATCCTGTTTGGTTTTTTCTTTCTCATTATTTATATTCAAAATACAGTTTAACTGAGGAAAGGCAAAATAATACATGGTTGTTGCACTAATTGGCAGCTGCAGTGGTAACAACCATGACAAGTTTTAGCTCTGTCCACTTCAACCCAGCCAAGTCATTAAAGGTTTTGAAGCAGAGAATTGGGTTATGAAACCCAATATACAGTGGTAGCTAAGCTGGTATCCCTGGATTGCTAAACACATTCTTAACCACCCAAATGCAGGTTCAGTAGGATTATGATCTGTGGAGGAAGGTCTCAGCCAAGCCACTGAAAAGATGTTTGTTAGCCTCCAAAATATAAATAAAATATTTACAAAGAGAATAATTGACTTTTGATGTTTACTTCAGGCTATGGTTAAGCAGGCAGTGTCTGTACTAAGCAATGCAGTGACCACCTGCCACAAATGCTGTGATATTTGACAGATCCCTTTCTGCCAAGAACTATAATTCCTATTTAAATCTAAATAGAGGAGCCATGAATGCAGATTTCTCATCACAAAGACACTGATGTTAATCCCCAGTACAGAAAAATAAGAAAAGCCAGAACGTTTTATTGGATTTTATATGGAAGATAATTAAACAGTATTTCTTCTTTACTTGGTATACAGCATCCCATCAACATTCCTGCTGAAATTTGTTTATAAAGAAAGCTAGAAAGTTTTATTACATTTTTATGTAAAAGAAAATTAGCATTTTGTATATTTGAACTTACATTAGAATAACAAAAAGTGGGTAAACAAAAATGACCAAAGAATGATGAAAACAGAAAAAAAATGTGAGGAAAGCATAACACTCTTCTCATACACACAATTTCATATTCCAAGCATGCAAACCAAATAAATGTTTATGTGCATATGTATATATTGTATATATTCATGTACCAAGCAGTTCTGAAAACCTAAGCTCCCAAAACTTAGGAAATGCTACAATTAGATGTGCTTGCACACACTTAATGTGGCCTTTTTGATTGTGTACCCATGAACGTATGCTATTTTTTTTCACACACACACACACCCCGTAGAAAATGGTGCAGTGTAGGCAGAAAATTGGCCGTGAGAATGATGTAATCTCCAAGAGAGCTGCTTTGCAGGAGCCTGTTTCTTTTCTGCCCACAACCCAGTTTGGTATTTTGGATGTACCCAAGGAAGTTATCTTAGCATGTTTCCCAGCAGGTGGGTGCTGCCAATCTGAGGCTGTAAGAGAATGTGTCTGAGGGTGCATTTAAAGCGTGCTTATTAATAGAGGGGAGGCAGGGGGCGGGGGGAGCTGTATCCAAGGTTGCATCCTCGGCATTTAAAAATGTTTCACTTCAGCCTGTGCTGCCATTTACTGCATTATGTGATGCATGTGGATTTTCCAAACAAAAGATGTTTATGAGGAGAGTATATTTTAAGATCCTTTTCATGACTGCACAGACCCCTCTCCAAGCAGATGGCCTGACAGTTGCAAGGAAACTATTCATAAGCCAGAAGTAGCATTTAAAATTCTTTTAAAAAGACAGTTTGTTCTCCATATACATTTTAAGCAGGTACTAATTCTGCTCGCAGCAGCACCTTCCCTGCTTCCCAGCTCGTTCCTGGTCTGACAGCACCAACTGCAGCCGCACGGGATGTGGGAGCGCAGCCGGCAGCAGCCCCAGCAGTGCGGCACTGGGCTGCCATGTCACTTTAGCACCCAGATCCACTCCCTCTGTGGCTACTCTCAGCACTGCTTGGTGCAGAGGGGACCATTAAAATCTAGACTCCACTCACAGCTGACTTGGAGTAATATTGGAGGTACGACAGTTTCCCTTTTATACCCAAAATAGGCTGTATCTGCAGCAAAAGTGTTTACTTGGCATGTACAAGTGTGTAGAAACATGCAGGATTAGTGAAGAATTTTCCAAGGACATGAATACATCTAATTCCATTTTCATTCACAGCCTTGACTGTTACCTAGATGTAGTTGAAGTTCTTGGAGGAAAATAACCAGCTGAGAACAAAGTAACTGAACCCAAGCCACTTCACCATTACTAAGTTTATGTATTCTGGGACAAATCTGTTGGAAATGACTTCATACAGCTGCATTTGCTGACCCTTTTAATTGCCTGCTACAGAACCTCCTGCTTGAAGGAAACAAGCACTCCCATATCATGCACTTGATAAATAAATAATGCCATCCCTCTGGAGACAAAAATTCCATCTCTAACCAATCTAAGCACAAGGACAGGGACTAACTGTCCTTCCAGTTTGGGGAGATGGTTTGTTTTTGCTTTTCCTTCACCTCAGGAACTGAGGCTTATTATTCGTAGCATCAAACACATTTAGAAATATTTCTGAAAAATTTGCCTAATATCCTGC